CCCTGCCTAATGCGTCCGGAGCAAGGAAGTACATCATAGTGGGGATTGATTACTTCACCAAATGGGTGGAAGCCGAACCCCTGGCCAGTATCACGGATTTTCAATGTCAACGTTTTGTTTGGCAAAATATTATATGCAGATTCGGGCTACCGGAGCAGGTCATCACGGATAATGGACGGCAGTTCGTGAGCAAGAACTTCGAGGAATTCCTCACCAGATGGGGAATTAAGCATTCAAGAGCTTCCGTAGCATATCCGCAGGCGAACGGGCAGGTAGAGAACATGAACAGAACCATCATGGATGGCATAAAAAAGAAACTCGAGGATTACGCGTCAACCTGGCCCGAACAGTTAAACTACGTCTTGTGGACATACAGGACAACGCCCCGAACAGCAACTGGGGAAACACCGTTCGCCCTCGCGTACGGATTTCAGGCTAAGGTCCCAACTGAAGTCTTGGTGCCCACTCACAGAACCATCCACTATGATCCTGAACAAAATGAGGACAGTCTGCGTGCTGAACTCCACTTCATAGAGGAAAGAAGGGACCTCTCAGCTTTACGAATGGAAGAATATCACCGAGCGACGAAGAGATATGTGGATAAACAGGCTAAAATCCGTTCGATTGAAGTTGGAGACCTTGTCCTAAGGAATAGAGAGAAAAGCAAACCGCTAGAGGGCGGGAAGATGTCGAAGAATTGGGAGGGACCATACCGAGTCTCGAAAAAATACCGGATAGGAACCTTTTTCCTCCAGGATACCGAAGGCTGTCCGGCAGGAGTATGGAACGCTATGCACTTGCGGAAATTTTATCAATAAAAACGGCTGTTGCCACCTCTAAAAAAAAGGGAGAACAATGCTTCCACAAAGGCCAGAGTTAAGAGAAATAGTACGGGCCGAACGGCACCACCACAAACTCAGCCAAAAGTCTCACCTTGATCCATAGATGTCGTTCATCTCGATCTATGGGGAGCCATCATCTCAGCACAAAATATATATATATATATATATATATATATATATATATATATATATATATATATATATATATATATATATATATATATATATATATATATATATATATATATATATAATGTGCAGGATAACCAAGCCCGGACTCAGCTTGGGAGATGGTGTAAAAGATCTTGAGTAGGACGAACCGGGCGGCATCCGAAATCATAGGGTGACCGAGCGGGGGATCGGGACTCTGGTCTTAAAATCTTGCCTTGGCCATGCAGCTCGCCCGAACCACGATGTAATGGTTTATTGTGGTGGAACCCGAGCTGTAACCTGGAGGCGAGTCTCCATTTTGGCAGAGAATAAGGGGGAGACCCGAATTGGGAGCCTTATTCTCAATGGTCCAGGATGGACATCTCAACCTCATGATATGGATGACCCCGGACGGTAAAACCGACGGTATGCATCGAAATTATGGGCTTGGAAGATGGCAGACACTACACAAATTGTGAAACTGTCTTGCAGCAAGAGGTGATTGCCTTACGGATAAGGAAAAACACGGATGATAACCCGAACAGGTTACTTCAGCCTTGGGCCTACAAGGCAGCAGACAGCAAGCATTAAACATTGATGACTTGCGCGTTCAGGGAACAACCAGTCGACGGTAGTACACCGGACGGCATGCATCTGAAACATGGTGCTCGGGGGCGCAACAAGCATTAAACATTGATGACTTGCGCGTTCAGGGAACAACCAGTCGACGGTAATTCACCGGATGGCATGCATCTGAAACATGGTGCTCGGGGGCGCAGCAAGCGTGGAACATTATGCCTTGCGCGTTCAGAAAACAAAGGACAACCGACAAAAATTAATCGAACAGCTTGCACCTCAACTGTGGTGCTAGGAACGGGCCGAACGGCTTGCATCTTAATCATGATGCTGACTTGAAGTAAACAAAAACAAAAAAAAAAGATGACTATATTCGGAATGGATCAATCTTTATTCTTCGGCACTACTGGCCGGGAATTATACATGAGAAGAAGAAAAGGGGATTACAACAGAGATAACTAAGCTACGGGAGGATCCTTGTTCGGCACGACATCCGAATTGGAGTTCGGGGGATTGGCTGAGTCCTTGGCTTTTTGCCTCTTCTCCATCACCCGTTGATAAGCACGGCAGAATAACGGATCAAAACCTTCCTCCTTGGGGTCAAAGGGTTCATCAAAAGATTCCTTGATCACCTCCAGATTCCGGTCGACCAGCATATCCTGGCACTTGACAAGGGTGTCTCTCGCCAGAGCATTAGCAAATGCAGTCCCGGACGGGGTTTCATCCAGAAGCTTGAGGCCATCGTGTAATGGGTCCTTGCTCTTCTCTAGGAATTCGCCCAGATGCTTGCCAAGGAACTCCCGAGCAGTATTTTCTAGGGCGAGGTTCAGGCCTTTCCCCCTTTGGAAGTCAATCACCGCCTTCTTGGTGATCTTGGAAACATCGGCAGTATAGGGGGCAGGGGGATTCTCCCCCTTGGCCTTCTCAATTTTCAGGCCAGCAGCTTCGGCGACCTTCACCTTGGCACGCAGATCACGGATTTCCCGATCGCGTCGTTGGAGCCTCTGCTCCAGTTCAGCCAGCTCTTCCCTGGCCTTGTCACCCTTGTTGGCTCGATCTTGGAGATCTGCAGCCATTTTCCTAGCAGCAGCCAAAAGGGTTTGGCTCTCATCCAGCTCCTGATGAAGGAGGGTCATCTCCCGTTCAGCAGCTAGGAAGGCCCGGTGATAATATGTACCGACCTGTGGAAGAAAGAAACAGCAATAAGGACAAGTCCAAAAAAAATATCAAAAATAAGAGGAATGGACTATACAGTCAAAGGCATACCTTAAGGGACTCGGCGTGGCCTGCTTCAAATAGGTCGGACCAGTGAGTCAGGTTGGTGAAACCCTCACCAGCCTTCAGAGAAGTACTGCACCACACGGATGATGCAGTCTGCCCGAACAGCGTCCGGCATTCGGCTCGGGGGCCCATGGCGGAAAACTCCACCGTCAACCGATCGGGGATCGGGAGACTATCTGAAGCAACACCTCCCCTGTTGCCCAGCTTCCTTGAAGGGGAGGGGACCGTAGGCATCCTTTCCACAGAAGGATCCGTCAGATCAATGACCTGATCGATCGGGACCAAGGCGCCGCTGCTTTCGATTCTCGGCCGCTTGTTTACTGGCCCAGATTCCCGGCCAGCGAAAGAACCTGATTGAATAGCCTTCTCCTTTCCCTTGCTGACTATGGCGGTGGAGGAAGGAGTAGGAGCAGGACGCTTTATGGAAACGGGGGGAATCACACCTACAGGAAAGAACGAAGAAAAATGAACAAGAGATTGAAAAATATACCGAACGAACAAAGTAAGGGAAGAATCATACCGATGCCAGCAGCTAGCATCTTAGCGGGAGTCAAGAAAGACCGTAGGTTTTTGGAACCTGCCAGACGGAGCCTTTCGTACTGGCAGAGGATGGCCGCATCCACCTTGGGGGAAACATCCTGAGCGGGGTAAGTATTCCACCGGTCAAGGAACGGCAGCGGTGACCCCACATGAACGAACAAGAATCATTCCTCCCATTTCTCCGGCGGGGTGGGGTTGTCGGTGAAGAGCGAACGGCCAGGACGGGCGACAAGCCGCAGGTACCCGGTGGTCCAATAGGGCTGGACGCCGTAGCAGTGCAAAAAGAGATCGGCGCTAGGGGCAATCCCCAACTCATGGCACCAGACGATAAAGCCGTTCAGGATCCTATAAGTGCTAGGCACGAACTGTGCTGGCAGTACTGAGATCCGGCGGAGGAACTCCACAATGAAAGGGTGCAATGGGAACCGTAGACCGGCGATCAGCGCGTCCATATGAACCAGCACACATCTCGGACGATGCTGCATGGGATGCTTAATATACCCCGCATAGAACTGACGGGGTGGCGGTAATAGTTGGCGGAGCGTCTGTTCGGCATCCGCAGGGAGGCGTTGACGCTGTTTTCTGATGCAGTGAAAGTTCAGACTATAGCGAGGAGGGCGTTCAGGCATACCCCTTTCGTAAACGGCAAGGTCATCCCCCGAATGACATCCATCATCAGGGAGGGGCTGTTCGGGCTGAAGTGTCCCAGAGGACCCATTGGAACCCGATGAGCGGGTAGATGCTCCTTGATCCTTGGGATGAGCCTTTCCCCTGGATCGATGAATCAAAGTAGGCACCATTTCTTCGGAATCCGAGCCAGAAAGAACCAACATGAAGCAGGGAAAAGAATTCTAGAGAGAGAAAGCTTGAAGGATTTGAGAAGCAGCAGAAAATCTGAAACAAAGTAGCTGCATCCTTATATAAGGAAATGCTACCGCCAAGAATTCAAATGAATAACTGACACGTGTCAAGACGGTTGGGAGAAGTTAAAGCATCCTTTGGGGAGGGGGAACACCCGAACGGGGTCGAAATCAACAAAGTTCACGAACCTCTAAGAGAAAAAAGAAAAGGGCTACAGGCGTTTCCCCGAACAGGAAGAAAAGATGCACCAAAATGGAATGAAGAATGATCGGCATACCCGAACCGTATGGTTACCTAACATGGAGAAATCTGGCAAATGCAACGAAGATGAACACAATGATCGATGAGGAAAGTACAGGAGTTTATACCCCGAATGCTGAACACAATTAGGAATGCTGAACACAATTACCAACTACTTAAAAAGGAAACCTGCGAACATGATCGATGAGGAAAGTACAGGAGTTTATACCCCAAACAGATGGGGAGGGCAAAAAAAAAAAAAAACTGGCATCATGAGTGCAGACTGAACGGGTTCATTATGAATGATATCGAACAAACAGCTCGATCAATATTACAGTCCTAAATTCTGGACTTAGCGAAGGGGTGACGCAAACAGGCAAACCTGATCGCTATAATTTATGGAGTCAAAACAGGAACAAAGCAACAGGAAATGTATTACGAAGGCAAATTGATGGGTGAGAAACAAGTATGAAGTACAGTAAAAGAAGCTACAAAGACAGAAGGTGCAAGCAAAAGTTGTATATTCATCGGCTCTACTGGCCGGAAAGTACAAAAGAAATACTGATTAAAGGAAAAGAAGGTACAGATAAAGAGGATGTCTAATCTATTGTTCGGGGTGCTCTTCATCATCTTCTTCATCGTCAGCTTCCTCCTCAACGATCTGCTCCACCTCCATCCCCAGGGCTCGCCGGCACTTTTTCATCTGTGCCATCAGGGCGTTCAGGTGACCCGGATGGAGGTCAGAGGGGAAGTCAGAAGATTGCACCGCTCGGCCCATGTGTTTTTCCAGGAGGGGGAGGAGAGGCTGGAGCATATGTTGACAGCCTGAGCTGTAGACCCCTCGGGCGAGATTGTCAGCCCACTCCTTGGTGATAGGATGCTGATCAAGCACCCTGATCCCCTCCTTCTAGCGCTCTTCTCCGGCCAGTTTCTCCAGATGCCTCCCGAAGACAGCGGGGAGCTGTTCGGTGGCATACTTCTCCTTCAGGGCCAGAAACTCCTCTGAAGTCTTGAAGGAATCCCGAACGGCGGAAAGATCAACTGTCATTTCGGCCGGTCCGTCCGGGATCTGAGGAGGAGCTTCAGAAAACTTGACCTGAGCGGCCTCAGCTGCCACAATCATGGCTTGGAGGGAGCCTACTTTAACACGGAGCTCCCCAGCCTCAGCTTCCAGTTTCCTCCGCTCTTCGGCGAATGCTCGCCGTTCAGCTTCCACTGCCTGCTCAGCTGTTTCCTTGGCCATCAGCAGGCCTTGTTCCTTTGCCTGTCTGGCCTCTCTGAGTTTCAGGCTGTATATCCCCGCCTAATGATCAGAAAGTAAAATATAAGCACATGATAAGCTATCGAACAAAGAAAAGGAAAGAGTGAATTATGAGCACAAGATAATGGGCTACCTTCAGGACAGTCAGAGCAATACACTCCTCGGCCTCCTCCACCGGTATCGGGGGAAGATTGTGGCCATTGAGAAATCCTGATGTGGACCAGATCTGGCTCGCCGGACAGCCACCCCGCTCCAACATCTCATGAGCAGGATCATAGAGGGAGATCCGCTCGAACTGATTAGCCAAGTCAGCCTGATGGGCAGCCACCTCTTCAGCAGAGAAATGGTGGGACTGCTGATCAGAAAAAAGCTGATCCATCAGCGTATCAGCATGAGTTTGCTGATCTTGAGCAACCTGCTGCACAGGCTCTACCTCCCGAACGGACTCAGGAACTTCGGGGACTAGGGGGGCTGATGAAGAGGATGTGCCCTTATCAGCCTTCCTCAACCTCTTCCTCTTTATCTTCTTCTGCTTGGGGGAGGTTGGTGGCTCATCATCGAAACCAACGGTAAAAAGCCCGCTGTGTCACGCCCCAGACCGCAATCCAAGCACGTGTACAACCGCCGTATAATCAAGTGACGTCACCCGCGAGTCAACCTCACTTAATTACACAAGGCGTTCGAGAATATAATCCATCCATACTCAGTAGTAAACATACATAACAACATCACATTTAAACCAATGAATAGCGGAAATATTCAACGGTAAGTCATAAGCCACAACCGGCCAACAACATGGGCATGCAAGCCCCAAAAATAGTTTATAGTAGAGCAAATATCCATGAGCAAGTGTTCAGTAGTTTGAAAGAAAATAAGGAAGCACGAACCACGTCTTCCCGATATGATACCACCCGTGAGAAGGTGCAAGTAGCAAGCCCTAGCTTCAACCTGAAAATGGTGGGGCCCCCCGAAGGGGTCAGTACAAGTACCGAGCGAGTAGCAGGCTAAATATAGAATAACTAGCGTTTCAAGTATAAGACCCAAACATAGGGTGATACTTAAATAGATAGTCTTTCCCCCAAGTTATGAAATACTTATTAGCATATATATACTTGGAAAATATCCGATCCGTAGATCACCATTTTATTTGGGAAAAATAGTATTAGTCAATATTCTTGACTAAAAAAAAACCCCAACCCACCCATATACCTATGAGTGTATAGGACTCCTCCTTGTCCCTATTTGTATATCATAATTTATGAGTTTTAGGATCAACATCCTCGGATACTCCACCGGTTTGTGAGTGTTAAGGCCTCATAAGTCCTAGGGTCCTCCACCGAGTTTTGAGTGTTAAGTACTTTAAGTACTAGGGTCCTCCACCAAGTTTGAGTGTTAAGGACTTTAAGTCCTAGGGTCCTCCACCAAGTTTTGAGTGTTAAGTACTTTTTAAGTACTAGGGTCCTCCACCGAGTTTGAGTGTTAAGGACTTTAAGTCCTAGGGTCCTCCACCAAGTTTGAGTGTTAAGTACTTTTTAAGTACTAGGGTCCTCCACCAAGTTTTGAGTGTTAAGTACTTTTAAGTACTAGGGTCCTCCACCAAGTTTGAGTGTTAAGTACTTTTAAGTACTAGGGTCCTCCACCAAGTTTTGAGTGTTAAGTACTTTTAAGTACTAGGGTCCTCCACCAAAATATTTCCCTATGATCAACCTCCTATCAACCTAGATAGAGTCTATATCATCCTTAGTTACTCATAACTAATCCAATACATAAATCTTATGTATCACAATCCATGCAAAGCCATGCATTTATATAAATGTATAATTAACTAACATCAACCGATATTAATTAATCCATCATCCATCGGTCAACGTTGTCGTTGACCGCCAATTCAAGCCTTGTACATATCAACTTAATCATCATATAATCAAGTCAATAATACTCATTTGAGCTTCTTTCACACTTCAAGCTAATGTGCATTTTATATAATTTCTCATATCATATTTCATGCATAATCAATTAATTCTTTTCATACAACTTGATAATGTTGGCTAATCACATGTTTAAATATCTTTTAAACATCATTATGAACACATATAACATTTATTTAGGTAATCTCATAATTAACCCAAAAGTTATAAGATATTAAGCCGTCCACTCACCTTGAATTAGCGTTATGAAGTTCTACCCTTCTTGGTTGAACTCCGGTGAAACTCCGGCGACTTTCGGTCAACTCCGGCGACAACTCCGGCGACTTTTTCCAACTTTGTGAAATCACTTGAAATACCCTTTACAAGTGCCTAACAAGGTTTTATAATCATAAAACCCATATTAATACAAATAACCTCAAAAAGGTTATTTTCCGGTGAACCGGTCGTTTTGGCTTCTAAGTCCGTTCTTGGACTTAGAACCATCTTCCACCCCATAGATCCATACTTATAACATATTGAACCATACTAAAGGTTCTTCATATGATATATACTTCATATGGTGGAAGAAAAATAAAGGAAAAGTTAATATAAGGTCATTACCTTAATTGTTCACACTTTTCCCAACTTTTTCCCTCTTTAATCTTCTTCCTTTGAGCACTAAAGCTTGAGCTCAAATTTGCAGCAATGGAGGTGATTTTGAAGCTCCTTCTCTCTCCCTTGGATGGTCTGGTCGAGCTCAATGGTTGGAGGGAGAGGGGATGTCTCACTTTTGTCTTAATTGACAAATGAGTGAGGGAGGGGGGTCCTCCATGTACCTTAGATGCCAAAAGCACCTCCTCCACTCCTTCCTTTGTCAACTCAGCCACCTCCTTGTTTGTTTTGAGCACACAAAAACGTGGGGTGGCCCCCACCCTTGTGGGAGGTCATCCCATTAAGTCCCGATGTGTACAATCGGCCCCGAAAGTTGTATTTTTCGGACTGTTTTAAATATATTTTATTTTATCGGGTCAAATAAAATATATTATGTGCTCTTACTCATTATGACATGTATAATGAATATACATTCCTCAACTTTAATTTATAAGCCTCCGAAATTCATTTTCGGGCTGTTATCTGTTAAATTGTCGGTACCGGTAATTGGGCCTCTCTTTCCCAATCGGTCAACCCTGCGCCTTTCCACGACCCAAATAAAATATCCACCACTATATAAATATTATCTTGACCAAGTTGAATAAAATATGTGGTCTCGGGAGTGTCGGGCGGCCCCCGCTCCCGGTGTGGGTCCCACGTGCAATTTACTATTCACGCGAAAGAAATAATAAAAATTTACAACCTCGTAAATTCATAAATCATTCCATAAGGTTTATTACATCATTTACATAAAAGTAAATACATTTGGGGACGGTGTTACAAGTTCACCCCCCCTTATTTGGGATTTCGTCCCCGAAATCCACGTGTCTAATCGAAAAGGAATGGGTATTGCTCCCTCATTGAGACCTCGGTCTCCCAAGTTTCCTCTTCGACTCGATCACTCCTCCAAAGAACCTTCACCATAGGAATCTCCTTGTTCCTAAGTTTCTTCACTTGTTGACCAACAATCTTCACTGGTTCCACCGCATATTGCAAGTCCTCACGGATCTCCACCGGTGGTTTCTCAAGAATATGAGATGGGTCTCGTATGTACTTCTTGAGCATTGATACATGAAACACGTCATGTATCTTCTCAAGTTCAGGCTTCAACTTGAGTCGGTAAGCCACGGCCCCTATCCTTTCAAGGATTTCAAATGGACCGATGTATCGGGGGTTAAGCTTTCCCCTCGATACAAATCGAATGATGCCCTTCCAAGGAGAAATCCTTAGGAAGACCTCATCACCGACTTCGAACTCCAACGGTCTCCGCCGTTTATCAGCATAACTCTTCTGTCGGTCCTGAGCGGCCTTCAATCTATCTCGAATGACCCTCACCTTGGCCTTGGTGATCTCGACTAGTTCCACTCCTTCGAGTTTGGCCTCGCCAACCTCGTCCCAACACAATGGTGTTCTGCACTTCCTCCCATACAATGCCTCATATGGAGGCATGCCGATACTTGCTTGATAACTGTTGTTATAAGCAAACTCCACTAGAGCCAAATGTTTGTCCCAACTTCCTTGGAACTCCAGGGCACATGCCCTAAGCATGTCTTCCAAAATCTGTATCACCCGCTCAGACTGTCCATCCGTCTGTGGGTGAAAAGCTGTGCTAAACTTCAGTTTAGTACCCAACGATGCTTGAAACTTTGGCCAAAATCGGGATGTGAATCGTGGATCCCTATCCGAGACAATGGATATCGGGACTCCATGTAATCTCACAATCTCCTCCGTGTAGAGCTTGGCCAATCTTTCAAGAGGATAAGTAATGTTGATAGGCAAAAAGTGTGCACTCTTGGTGAGCCTATCAACCACTACCCAAACTGCATCATAGTTGTTCACTGTTCGTGGTAGCCCCACCACGAAGTCCATGGTCACGTGCTCCCACTTCCACTCTGGGATGGTGAGTGGCTGCAAAAGCCCTGCCGGGTGCTGATGTTCTGCCTTAACTTGCTGGCAAGTAAGGCATCGACTCACATACTCTGCGATGTCCCTCTTCATACCTGACCACCAGTAACTTTCCTTCAAATCTCGGTACATCTTAGTACCTCCTGGATGCATAGCATAAGCTGAAGAATGAGCCTCCTCAAGTATAGACTTCTGGAGTTCCTCATTCTTTGGTATGCATACACGATCCTTAAACAATAATAGACCGTCATCACGTACTCGGAAGTTCTCAACGGGTCCTTCAAGGATTCTTTCACGGATCTTCTGACATTCTTCATCAATGGCCTGACTTCGACTAATCTCACCCAATAGGGTGGGCCTAACCTCAAATTGAGCAATGAGAGCCCCGCACGTGGACACCTCCACGCGTGCCCTCAATGCCTGCAGACAAGTAAGCAACGTCCCTGACGTACTCTTCCTGCTCAGTGCGTCGGCCACTACGTTGGCCTTTCCGGGATGATAGTCGATGATCAAGTCATAGTCCTTGATCAACTCCATCCATCTCCTTTGTCTCATATTCAACTCTTTTTGAGTGAATACATACTTCAAGCTCTTATGATCGGTATAAATGTGACATGTCTCCCCGTAGAGATAATGCCTCCAAATTTTTAGTGCAAACACTACCGCCCCCAATTCTAGGTCGTGGGTAGGGTAGTTCACCTCGTGTTTCCTCAATTGCCTAGAAGCATAGGCAATCACCTTACCGTTTTGCATCAGTACACATCCAAGCCCTTGGATGCTAGCATCGCTGTATATATCATACCCTATCCCCTGTATGGGTAGGGCGAGGACTGGTGCTTCGGTAAGTCGTTTCTTCAGTTCAAGGAACCCTTTCTCACACTTGTCGTCCCATATGAACTTGGCCCCTTTCTTTGTGAGCTTCGTTAATGGAGACGCCAATACAGAGAATTTTTCAACAAATTTACGATAGTATCCCGCTAAGCCAAGGAAACTACGTATCTCTTTCACATTCTTGGGTCTCTCCCAATCCATAATAGCTTTTATCTTCGCGTTATCCACAGCTACGCCCGAACCGGATATGACGTGACCGAGAAAACCAATCTCCTTGAGCCAAAATTCGCATTTAGAGAACTTGGCAAAGAGTTGCTTTTCCCTTAGCCGATCAAGTATAAGCCCCAAATGATGCTCGTGCTCCTCCTCACTCTTGGAGTATATCAAGATATCATCAATGAATACTATCACAAATTGATCTAAGTATTCACTAAACACCCGGTTCATCAAGTCCATGAATGCCGCCGGTGCGTTGGTTAAACCAAACGACATCACAAGGAACTCGTAATGACCATACCTAGTGCGGAATGCACTCTTAGGTATGTCGCTCTCCTTGATCTTCAACTGATGATACCCCGACCTCAAATCAATCTTCGAGAACACTATTGCCCCCCGAAGTTGATCAAACAAGTCATCAATCCTCGGTAAGGGATACCTGTTCTTGATTGTGACCTTGTTCAATTGTCGGTAGTCAATACACATTCTTAGTGTACCATCCTTCTTCTTCACGAAGAGTACAGGTGCCCCCCACGGTGAATGACTGGGTCTGATGAATCCGTTGTCCAATAATTCTTGTAGTTGGACCTTCAACTCTTGAAGTTCGGCCGGTGCCATTCGATAAGGAGGAATCGAAATGGGTTTGGTTCCCGGCTCCACTTCAATTACAAATTCAATCTCTCTATCGGGTGGAAGCCCCGGTAGGTCTTTGGGAAAGACATCCGGGTACTTGCACACGACCCGTACATCCTTGATGTCGACTTCCTTCTTAGTATCGTCCACCACGTAGGCAAGGTACGCGTGGCATCCCTTCCTCATCATCTTCCGTGCTCTCATCACGGATATGATACAAGCACTAGGTTTCCCCCGATCTCCCTCAAAGCATAGCGTGTTCCCTTGATCATCCTCGAGCTCCAACACTTTGGTGTAGCAATCTACTCGGGCATGGTGTTTCTCGAGCCAATCCATTCCTAGGATTGCATCGAACTCCAACATGCTTAGAGGTACGAAATCACAAGTCAAAGGTTGACCCGTCACTTCTACCTCACACGACGGATAGTAATGATTTCTCTCCACGTCGTCTCCTAACGGTGTGGAGACTAGCAACGTTTGAGTCATAGGTGTCAATGGCACGTCAAGGCCCTCGGCGAACGCCTCACTCACAAATGAGTGTTGTGCCCCGGTATCAATGAGGATCCTCGCACACCTACCATTGATCTTTAATGTTCCTACATTTATACACATGTAAGATACATTTTCTAATGTTTTAACACATCTTTAGGAGGTTATTAGGCTCATACTAATGTTTGGAATCAAACGGGGGTCCAAACGTAGAAGAACGGGGCGGAAAAATCAAGTTTCGGGTGTTGGGGGTCCACGCACGGCGTGCCTGGGTGGCACGCACGGTCGTGCGTGCGTGAGAAAATCGGAATCCGCCACTGCCGGCTACGCACGATCGTGCGTAGCTGGTCACGCACGATCGTGCGTCCCACGCACGGCGTGCCTTACCTGCACGCACGGCGTGCGTCTGCGCGGAAAACGGCCAGAGGCTGCTGCCTCGCACGCACGGTCGTGCGTCTGTAGGTACGCGCGATCGCGCGTAGTTGTTTTTAGCCCGTTTCGCCCCGAATTCGCGGGGTTTGACCCCGGGGTGGCCCGCACCCAAACCCAATGACTCGTATGACCCAAATAAGCCTAGAAATACAGGAACATAAGTGTATTACCTGCAACGGAGTCCGGGTTTGCTCGCGCATCCGCCTCGGTCATTGCGTACACTCGTGCTTGGGTCCCACCTTGGTTGACGGACGCGGCATGACTTGTGGACGCACCGCCCCTTCCCATACCGCCGTTTGACGGGCCCGCACGGTTTCTTCCCGTCATGGTTCCTCCTCCGGATCCCGGAGCTCCTCCTCCCCCCAATTGTGGGCAATTGGCCTTCATGTGGCCCGTGTTCCCACATCGATAACACCTCGGGGGTGCGTTGCACTTCCCAAAGTGGTTCTTTGAACAGTTGGCACACTTAGGAGGCCCCGTATTTTGAGAGGAGGATGCGTGCCACCGAGCATCCTTGTTCTTCTTCGCCGGTGGTGCCGGCGCCTTGAACGTACCACCACCCCCGCCGTGGTTATTCTTCCGTGCTTGCTCGGGCGGCCCCGAATTATGCCATTTTCTCTTTTTCGCCTCCTCGGCGTCTCTTTCTTTTCTCTCGTTCCATTGAGCCTCCCCAAGAAGGCCCTGCTCCACCACCTCGCTAAAGGTCATGTGGCGCGAGTACGTAGCCCGATCACGGATGTCCAAGAGTAAGGCATCCCAAAAGTGCTCTGACATGCGGTCCTCATTGATCGCGTACTCCGGTAAGAACCTAGCCAAGGTTCTAAAATCTTGCTCCAACTGTTTAACAGAAACACCCTCCTTCTGTTTGAGGTTGGTGTACTCCCTACGTTTGACATTTTTCTCGTAGTCAGTGTAGTATTGGTCATAAAATTCCTGCTCAAAGTTCAACCACGAGACCTCCCCATGGTATTTTCCTTCTACACTCTCCCACCACGTGGAAGCTATCCCCTCAAGCAGCCGTGAAGCAACAGTCAACTTCACGTCCGGTGAAATTTGCATGTCTTTTGCCGCATCCTTCACCTTCTTTATCCAGTCGGCGGCAACGGTAATGTCACCGGTGCCGTCAAAGGACTTACACCCCAAGGCCCTAGCCTCCTTGAGGTACTTGGAGATTCTCACAACAAAACCTCCCTCACGCCCATCATGTGGCGCTACGGGAGTGGACCTTGAAGCTCCCCGGCTTCCTTGACCCGAACCACCGCGAGAGCCACGCCTTGCTTGGCGCCTAAGGTCTCTCCTCAGCTTTTCTTTTTGATACCACTCAAGCAATTCGCCCATTTGGGCGAACTTGGCATCACTCTCTTCATCATCATCATCGGTGTATGTGTCACCCCCATCATACGGGGTCTCCTCATGCTCCGTTTCTGGAACGTAGGTCGAGTCATAGTCCTCGGTGTTGGTTTCATACACCGAGCTTACATGGCCATCACTCACAGTTTGAGCTTGATGACCTCCACGGCTTCCACGACCTCCACGGCCTCCTCTTGAACCCCGAGATGCAGCCCGGCTTCCCCTTTGGGATGCTACCGGCGTCTGCCCCCTCGGGTTGTTCCTGGTCCCCATTCGCCTGCCCTCCATTTCTGAAAGAAATATGGATGAGTCATTAGACTCCTATAAATGTCAATTGACGGAAAAACGTTACAGACACGTATTGGCCCAAGTCACTACCATACCAATTGTTAAGGGTACCGTCTTAACAATTAGAGGCCTTGCAACTTAAGCACCAATAGTCCTATAAACGTCAAAATACAATGCTCATGGTTTTCGGTAAAAACTCTTTTGTAAAATCCTTTGTGAGAGGTCGATTATATAGTTTAGAACTGAGATGGCTCTGATACCACTTAATTGTCACGCCCCAGACCGCAATCCAAGCACGTGTACAACCGCCGTATAATCAAGTGACGTCACCCGCGAGTCAACCTCACTTAATTACACAAGGCGTTCGAGAATATAATCCATCCATACTCAGTAGTAAACATACATAACAACATCACATTTAAACCAATGAATAGCGGAAATATTCAACGGTAAGTCATAAGCCACAACCGGCCAACAACATGGGCATGCAAGCCCCAAAAATAGTTTATAGTAGAGCAAATATCCATGAGCAAGTGTTCAGTAGTTTGAAAGAAAATAAGGAAGCACGAACCACGTCTTCCCGATATGATACCACCCGTGAGAAGGTGCAAGTAGCAAGCCCTAGCTTCAACCTGAAAATGGTGGGGCCCCCCGAAGGGGTCAGTACAAGTACCGAGCGAGTAGCAGGCTAAATATAGAATAACTAGCGTTTCAAGTATAAGACCCAAACATAGGGTGATACTTAAATAGATAGTCTTTCCCCCAAGTTATGAAATACTTATTAGCATATATATACTTGGAAAATATCCGATCCGTAGATCACCATTTTATTTGGGAAAAATAGTATTAGTCAATATTCTTGACTAAAAAAAAACCCCAACCCACCCATATACCTATGAGTGTATAGGACTCCTCCTTGTCCCTATTTGTATATCATAATTTATGAGTTTTAGGATCAACATCCTCGGATACTCCACCGGTTTGTGAGTGTTAAGGCCTCATAAGTCCTAGGGTCCTCCACCGAGTTTTGAGTGTTAAGTACTTTAAGTACTAGGGTCCTCCACCAAGTTTGAGTGTTAAGGACTTTAAGTCCTAGGGTCCTCCACCAAGTTTTGAGTGTTAAGTACTTTTTAAGTACTAGGGTCCTCCACCGAGTTTGAGTGTTAAGGACTTTAAGTCCTAGGGTCCTCCACCAAGTTTGAGTGTTAAGTACTTTTTAAGTACTAGGGTCCTCCACCAAGTTTTGAGTGTTAAGTACTTTTAAGTACTAGGGTCCTCCACCAAGTTTGAGTGTTAAGTACTTTTAAGTACTAGGGTCCTCCACCAAGTTTTGAGTGTTAAGTACTTTTAAGTACTAGGGTCCTCCACCAAAATATTTCCCTATGATCAACCTCCTATCAACCTAGATAGAGTCTATATCATCCTTAGTTACTCATAACTAATCCAATACATAAATCTTATGTATCACAATCCATGCAAAGCCATGCATTTATATAAATGTATAATTAACTAACATCAACCGATATTAATTAATCCATCATCCATCGGTCAACGTTGTCGTTGACCGCCAATTCAAGCCTTGTACATATCAACTTAATCATCATATAATCAAGTCAATAATACTCATTTGAGCTTCTTTCACACTTCAAGCTAATGTGCATTTTATATAATTTCTCATATCATATTTCATGCATAATCAATTAATTCTTTTCATACAACTTGATAATGTTGGCTAATCACATGTTTAAATATCTTTTAAACATCATTATGAACACATATAACATTTATTTAGGTAATCTCATAATTAACCCAAAAGTTATAAGATATTAAGCCGTCCACTCACCTTGAATTAGCGTTATGAAGTTCTACCCTTCTTGGTTGAACTCCGGTGAAACTCCGGCGACTTTCGGTCAACTCCGGCGACAACTCCGGCGACTTTTTCCAACTTTGTGAAATCACTTGAAATACCCTTTACAAGTGCCTAACAAGGTTTTATAATCATAAAACCCATATTAATACAAATAACCTCAAAAAGGTTATTTTCCGGTGAACCGGTCGTTTTGGCTTCTAAGTCCGTTCTTGGACTTAGAACCATCTTCCACCCCATAGATCCATACTTATAACATATTGAACCATACTAAAGGTTCTTCATATGATATATACTTCATATGGTGGAAGAAAAATAAAGGAAAAGTTAATATAAGGTCATTACCTTAATTGTTCACACTTTTCCCAACTTTTTCCCTCTTTAATCTTCTTCCTTTGAGCACTAAAGCTTGAGCTCAAATTTGCAGCAATGGAGGTGATTTTGAAGCTCCTTCTCTCTCCCTTGGATGGTCTGGTCGAGCTCAATGGTTGGAGGGAGAGGGGATGTCTCACTTTTGTCTTAATTGACAAATGAGTGAGGGAGGGGGGTCCTCCATGTACCTTAGATGCCAAAAGCACCTCCTCCACTCCTTCCTTTGTCAACTCAGCCACCTCCTTGTTTGTTTTGAGCACACAAAAACGTGGGGTGGCCCCCACCCTTGTGGGAGGTCATCCCATTAAGTCCCGATGTGTACAATCGGCCCCGAAAGTTGTATTTTTCGGACTGTTTTAAATATATTTTATTTTATCGGGTCAAATAAAATATATTATGTGCTCTTACTCATTATGACATGTATAATGAATATACATTCCTCAACTTTAATTTATAAGCCTCCGAAATTCATTTTCGGGCTGTTATCTGTTAAATTGTCGGTACCGGTAATTGGGCCTCTCTTTCCCAATCGGTCAACCCTGCGCCTTTCCACGACCCAAATAAAATATCCACCACTATATAAATATTATCTTGACCAAGTTGAATAAAATATGTGGTCTCGGGAGTGTCGGGCGGCCCCCGCTCCCGGTGTGGGTCCCACGTGCAATTTACTATTCACGCGAAAGAAATAATAAAAATTTACAACCTCGTAAATTCATAAATCATTCCATAAGGTTTATTACATCATTTACATAAAAGTAAATACATTTGGGGACGGTGTTACACGCTGTCATCCATTGCTGGTTGTCCGGGATTGGCTCCTTCGGAGTCTGAAGATTCGCCTTGCTTTGGAGCTGAAAAGATAACAAAGGACAAATTAGTACCGAGCGGTTCACACGTGGATGAATAAAGAGTTTTATCACACGGGAAGGACCGCCCGGACCATGGTACTTGGTTTTCAGTCAAGTAAGTCCAGGAATACGGGCAGTACCTATCCCAGCCTTGATTAGCCGTTCGGCAGTTAGGTAGGACATAATCTTGAAGCAACCGCCTGCCTCCACAGCAATGACATCTTTGCTGAGCTCCTCGGAGATGAATGGCTCGGGGGATTTAGGAGGAAATGCATTCCACTTCCTGGGAATTAGACCGTTCGGAACAGAGACAAAGAAAAACCTATCTTTCCAACCCTTAATGGAAGAAGGGGCATCGCAGAACAAAATGTGTCCTGTTCGGGAGCTTACCACCAGAAAGCCATGGGACTGCTGGGGGATAACTGAAAAGAAGTAGTGGAAAAGCTCTAGGGTGGGTGTGACTTTGACGCTATGACAACGACAGATGAAACCGGCTATTGACCGGTAGGAGTTCGGCATTATTTGAGCTGGTACTACATTGTAAAAATTTAAGAAAGAGACAAAAAACGGGTGAAGTGGAAACCTAAGACCGGCCTTAATTGAGTCAAAGTGGACCACTACCATCCCAGGGAAATGACGCATTGGGTGAAGCCCGACCTGGAGTCGGAAATCCACCGAGTCCGGGATCATCATCTGGATTTGGGCCCTATTTTGGGCCGTAAGTTTTTGACGCATCAGCCTAATTAGGGCTAGGTCAAGCTTATGGCAAGAAACGCCGCTAGGGGGACCGACTTCCATGGCCTCCATTTCATCCCCGGACTTGGTACCATCGGGATAAGTTCCGAATGAAGAGGCATCGTCGTGGGGGACCTCCGCCGGGATAGGAGTAACCTCCAGTGTCAGGCTAGGATTATTCTCAGGGAGATCAACGTTTGAGGTAGAACACTCGGAGGAACGAAGACGGGTTGCCATACCGATCGAACAAGGAGGATAGAAGAAAAACGCAAGGCCAGAAAATACCTGAGCAAGAACTAAGAAATAGCTATAGAGAGAAGGATGAATTATAAGCCGGAGGTGCAAAGTTTCGAAACCCAGAATCAAAACCAGAAGAGCCTATTTATACTCTGTCACGCCGATTCAGCACCCAATCAGAAGAGGACACGTTTTCTGTAATGATGACGGATACACGTGTCACGCGGAGAACCCTTCTCAAGAAATCATGGCGTTTATCGGAGAAGTGAAATGACAGTTGCAAATAACCGTCAAAATATACCTCGGGAACCAGCGGAATGCCATTCGATTCTCACCTGAACGGCATTCGGGCAATTATCTTCTACTTCCTCATGCACTCACTACCGTTCGAGACATAGGAAGTGGGGGACTAGTGTTGGGATATTAGGTCCAGGCCCAATATCCCTAGGCCCAAATCCGGGAAGAAGCTGCAAGCCCAAAGAACTCCCGAACGGCATTCGGGATAAAACTTATACTTGGAACATTCTGGGAAACAATTATGCCAAAGTATCAAGGCCCAAATATCGATCGGCGTTCGGGATACTTCGGGTAGAAATTATCACCTATGGCGGGGTCCCACACACCGAACACCTTGCCCGAATGGGCGGTCAGCAAGTGGAGGCCGCATTTAATGCTGGATCATGACAGCTGCAAGTGGGGGCATGAGTGCTTACATGGCAGAGGTGATAGCCTACCAGATTCGGCCACGCATCCACCTTACCCATCCCCATTATAGTATAAATACCCCAGTTTAGATCATTGTAAAGGGTTAGCATTTTAATACTCAGAGCTTAGCAATAGATTTACATCTCTTATCCTTGTATTCTTATAATCATCTACCGTTCGGGTAGTTCCAGTGTAATCATACTTATTGAATACCAGTAAGCTCCTGAGTTGAACAAATATCTCACTGTTTTATATTTTATACACTTTCCAATTCGACCAAATATCCCTACAAAATCCAAGGCTTGTGTTGGGCTTTCGGATCTTCGGGAATAAACTTCAACATAGGTGTTAGTCTCACTTTTCGTATAATTGTCTCATTACGCAAGCAGTCTTTTCTAGTACTCCCTCCGTCCCATTAAAACATTCACACTTTCTTTTTTGGGACGTTCCATTTAAATCTTTACATTTCCATTTTTGACAACTCATTTTACAGTAATTGTCCTAACTACCCCTTCACCACCCACCCACTTTTTACATTTACTTGGATATCATTAATTACCTTCCAAAAGACAAAGGGTATGAACAATATTTGCTCTTCTATTAATTGGTTTACTAAAACACAGTGCCAAAAGCAAACGTCAAGATTTTGACCAGGATGAAGGGAGCAGTCCGCACATCCAACGCAACATTCAGATCTCAGTCACACTCATCTTTTGAACATGAAATTACTTCATCCATATATGCAATTTCTTACTTAGGTGGTTAAAAATTTAAAAATTTATCTGAAAGTGAATGTACGTATTACATATCTTAGGATTGAGAGGTATATTCATAAAAATTAAGTAACACAAGAGTACGTTTTTTGGCTTCGGTTGGTACGTGACACTTTTCCATGTATCTCTTTGATTTGTTATATCAAATTTTCTTCCATGTTTCAAAAGTTTAATTGAATTTGCCACTTCAATTACAAATTCAACTATTTCATAGATTTCGACATGCAATTTTCTCCGTTTTCAGGTTTATATATCTATATATAGCGCTAATGAAGTAAATACAAGAAACTCGCAAACAGAAACCTTATATTACAAAGCTCACACACAAAGCACCTCTAAAAACGAGTCATATTACCATTCATGTAGTAATAAAGAATTGTTCTCTTCTGATTTTGCTCTTCACTCGAGCTTTTGCTATATTATTAATTATTAATAATAAAGGTTATTCTATTGTACACAGTGGTGGAGATATGGATGAGTTGGTGGGAGCCTAGGCCCTAAGAAAAAATATGTGATATATATATATATATATATATATATATATATATATATATATATATATATATATATATATATATATATATATATATATATATATATATATATAGATACTTCCTCCGTTCTTTTTTAGTTGCAACGGTCAACATTTCACACTTGCCAACGCACGTCTTTGACCGTAATTATTATTTAATCTCTATTAGTAAAAAATATTTAAAAAGTAGATTTTGAAAATTTGTAATGAGATGAATTGTACAATATATTTTAAAAAAATTAATTTTCATAAAATAATAATATAAAATGTAGTCAAAGTAGAACATGTGAATAGTGTAAAATTCTACATGTTGTTATTAAAAAGAGACGGAGGATAGTATATGAGAGAGAAAAATGTCTAGAGGGAGAACGTCTAGGCTGCCTCCATTGCTCCGCCAGGCCACCGCCCAGCCCTCCTTCCGTAACCGCCCCCAAACCTCCTCTACTTCCGGCCTCCACCACCTCCCCTCTCCCAAACCTACCTACGCTTCAGTCCTCTCCAATCCCCCACCTCCCTTGAGCAACTCTCCCAGAAACTTTGGCCTAAGTGGAGGACCTTCCCCTCCTGCCAGCAACTTCCCCAGAATCTTTGGCACGCATGAAGACTTTCCCTCCATCTCTTTTGCTCCGGAGGAAGTGTCAAAGCTGGTGAACGAGCTCCAATGGTCCCTCATTGGTACCTTCGAAAAGACCAGGCCTGATCTCAACCTCATCAGAAACTGGTTTGCCAAAGTTGGCTTCAAACAAAGGCTCCAGGTTTCCCCTATTGACTCTAGAATCATTTTTATTCATCTCTCCTCTGAAGAGGATTACCTTAGGCTGTTCTATAGGCAAAAATGGTTTGTCTATGGGTTTAACATGAGAATATCCAAGTGGACACCCCAGTTCACCCCCTACGTTGAAGCCCCGGTTTTCCCTGTCGGGGTCAGTTTCCCTGGGCTTCCTCTTTACCTTCACGCCCAGTCCCCCTTGTTTGCTATAGGACAATGTATTGGTAAACCTCTTCGGCTCGACGCGGCCACCTTATCCTTATCCCGACCCTCTTCTGCTAGGATGTGCGTTGAACTTAGCTTGGACTCTCCCATGCCTAGTTCACTGTGGATCCAATCAGGGGAGTCCGGGTTCCTACAAAAAATCTCATACGAACACCCACCTGCCTACTGTAACTCTTGTTTCACTATTGGTCAAACTCCATTCATTGCTCCAATCAAATAAACAATAATACAAATCTAGCTTCACTGCTCATATCAGACAAAAGCCATGCATCAAAACAAAATTCTGGAGCCCAGTCCACTCCCTCTCTGCTTGGCCTAGGCCCTCCTGTGCTGTACAATA